CTTACTGCTGAGCCTGGATCATTAAGAAGGTCATATGTGGATGTAGTAAACTAGCTATTCTGAATCCCATACTTGGAAGGACAAAATAACTTCACTTTCTCACATTTCGTGTTCATATATTCCAATGTGAGTGTCCCTGTCTAGACAAGTTTATGGAATAAAATAGCTATAAGCAAACTAACCTTTACATAATGTGTTTTGAAAATGTCTGCTAAATGTATAGAGAGATAATGCATTCATGTCAAAAGAGAACTGGAGGCCACATTGTAGGATAGAAACAGATTCTACTTAATCAAATTATAAGTTGGTGGAAAGACATTTATTGCAATACCATTCAAATGCAGACTGAAAATATATAAGCTGGGTGTGTGGCACATCTGTATAATTCTAGTACGCAGGAGTTAGAAGCAAGAAGATCAGGAATTCAAGGCCAGCTTCAGCTATAAAGTAAGATTGAGGCCAGCTTGGGCTATATGAGACCTTATCTCAAAAAACGAACTAAAGAAACCAAAATATATACATGTAAATTTGTTCTAAATGTTCATTATGTCTTAAGGTACTAACATTAAAATGCACACCCAAATTATAGATGCATAGAGGAGCTTTGTGCAAAATATTTACACCGATGGAAGTTCATGCAGAAAAATAATTAAGGACACCTGGTGTTTTCAGTAAATTATCCTATAGCCAGAGTCACAGTACTATTTCCTATTTATATACCTTACTTCTCAGAATTCTACTGGAAAATACTGGAATTCATCTAATTGATGAGTACCGAGACAAAGAACTTCTAGTTGTAGGATCTTCACTAGTTGTAAGATCAGTGTCACTATTAAACCAAAGTTATCTATATAAATTTTGTTATGTTTAATATTTCATTTTGAAAGTAAGCAATTAAAATATTTAGAAATAGACCTGAAAATATACTGCATGTGAATGTTCCTATAAAAAAATACATTTATTGTTTTTTACTAAGTTAAACACTGAGAACACTGACACTTCAAGTTACTCTCATGAAATAAGCAGTGAAATCAGAATCAAAATGCTTATTTAAACTCTCTGCACTTCTACAGTACAACCACACAAACTTCTGCTAACAGTCTCTTAACCCTTCAGGATTTAGATTCCTGAGACATAGCTGAAATAGCTAGAAGTCTTTTCTGATTAAGATTGATGGCATTATGAAATCATTATGCTGAAAACGTTTACACCATCTTTACTCTTAAAACATGTCTGCTTGAATACAGAGCTATATATTCCAAAGAATATAAATATATTTACTTTAAAATCATTTTCAGGGCCAGTGGCTCAGCTGCGGGCCACTAAGCCTCGTGACCCAAATTGGATCACTCGGTTTCACATGGTAGAAGGAGAACCAACTTCAGCAAGTTATCCTCTGACCGTCACATGTGATAAACAATAATGAAAAAATTCAGACTTTTCAATTATTTTCATGATCTCTAGAGTGAATTAGCACCACTGTTGAATAAGTTATGAATAAGTTATAATATAGAATACTAGTAAAATTGTTGCCACTGATAAAATTTGTGTTTTTAAATAAAAAAATTGATTTTCTCCGTATGTTTCAGGGTATTTGATGAAGGTTCAATTTGTTTCTTTCCCGGAAGGGAGACTGGTCCAGGTCTTCCCTGTTAGGTGGCTCTACCTTTTCTTAATCGTGAGTGCACATATACACACAAGATTGCACTAATCTGTGCACACCCATAATGGAGCCAGAGGCCAATCCAATATGAGGTGTCTTCCTGTATTGCTCTCTGTCTTATTTTCTGAGGCAGGGTTTCTGACTGAACCTAAAGCTTATTATTTCTGCTTGACTGGCAGGCCAGGAGCCCCAGGGACCCACCTATCTCTATCTGACAGCACTGAGGTTACAGATGTGTACCCTCTGGGGATCCAAACTCAGGTCCTCAGGTTTCTGCAGCAAGCACTTTGCCCTCTGAGCCATTTCCCCAGACTCTCTTTTTACCTTTGGAAGTACTCATATCTAACTGAGGCATGGACCTAGAGGTTTTGTTGAAGCTTCTACTGTATTGTTTTTCACTGCCAACAATATTTTTCTTATAGTAAAACATTAATCTCACCCTGAAGACCCCTGAGAGTTCTCAAAACCTTCCCAGATACCTACAATGGTAAAAACTCTTTTTGTAAAAACACTAAGACATTATTTGAGTATATTGATACTTACACTGATTAAGCAAATGGACTGAAGTCTAAAACTGCTGGGCTTTAGTAAAAATCAGCAGTATTACCAAAGTAAATTCATTACCGCACACACTAGCAGCTTGGAAATTAAGATTCACTTAAGAATATGTTTGGCAGCTGGGCAATGGTGGCGCACACCTTTGATCCCAGCACTTGGGAGACAGGGGCAGGTGAGTCTCTGAGTTGGAGGCCAGCCTAATTTACAGAGTGAGTTCCAGGATAGCTAGTACTACACAGAGAAACCCTGTCCCAAAACACAATAAAAAAAATAGTGTTTGATGAAGCAGTAAAAATTACTTTAACAGCAGAAGTGGGAAACATAAAGGGTTTTGTTGCATATCAAATTATAATGGATGGCTCTAGACAAAGTATTTAAACAAATGAGCTGTAAACTGAAACTAGTTTTCATTTTTTCTTTGTAATACCACAAACTTTCTCTGATGGTCAACCTTCACTGAGGTCGTTACCTTACTGGACATCTACCCACTTAGCCTACATTAATAAGGTTTCTGATTTTACTGAGACTGTTCTTGCTAATGCCACCAACAGTCTCCTGAATACTAAAAACAAGGGGCATGCTTTGGCTCTTACCTTAAGTAAGTTCTCCACAGTACCTGACATTATTGAACATTCTTCACTTGAAATTCTAGCAGTGATGTCAAGATGTCTCTCTCTTCCTAACTACTCCTTTCTTCTTTGCTGGCAGGACAAATCTCTAGTCTGTTCTAGTGTTTTAAAACTGTTAGGTTCATATATACCAGGGCCTACAGGAGACCGACACTTACACTATGTGAAGGAATCACCAACAATATATGCTTAATAACAATTTAAATACTTTTCTATTTTTCTTAGTGATTTCTACCACAGACCCATCACCAACTCAAGTCAGAAATAATGACTGTCATCATAAAAGCACTATTCCTATACATAGTTTAATTTCTACTCATCTTCATCCTCACTACAATTAATTTTAGGTACAAATAATTTCTAAAGCAGCAGGTATCTCTCCAGGTTTGGCCATTTTTATACTGTCAACTAAAATTTTCTAAAAGGTAAATCCAATGATTCACTTGGAATCTGAGCTTAACTGGACACTACTCAAATACGACCTAATATTCTAATAACTTGTACACAAAGGACCAGTTTTTCAAGACTAACCTCAGAAGGAACAAGGGTTTCGCACTTGTTATAATCATTTAGAACCATACTTTTGCCCAATATGTTCATCCAACCAAATAGCTACTTATATAGCCTACGCTGCCTCAGTTTTTCCTCCCACTAACAGGATTCTTTTTGCCTAGAAAGCCAGTCCTATCTACCACTCAAGTGAGCTAGTATTCATTCTTCAAATGTTCATCCATCTATAAAGTCTTCCCCAATGATGCCTTCCTGTCTAATCTACTACACTTTACAAGTATCTTTAATACAGAATTTACCATATGGCATTTTTATATTCTCCATTACATCCTTGAATGATCATGAGAAAAAGATGGTTTTATTCACATCTGTCATTAGCACAGTGCTGGTTGGTATATGATACCTACTCAAATATTTGTTGGGCAAATAATTCACTACACCATTAACACTCTATAGTCTTACTACAAAATTACTGCCTATGTAATAAAAACTTTTCAAACTGAAAGTATTTTCTTAAGAAACGTAAAGATAATTTCAACATACAACAAAATTACTACTACATTAAAATATTCAAGAAAAGATATAAACTGCCTTTTTTTAAGTGAAAAATCTAAATTATTAAACTGAATTGTAACATTCAATGAGACTAAAATGTAAGGTTCTTTTTTTTTTGACCTTTACATTTCTTTGATTTCTCCCCTATGACTTTTAGAATTAAAATATCAACCTTCTTCTAAACTTAGGTTTGCACAGAAAGTCACGTGTCTTTTGCCAGTTGCAAGACACCAGCATTTCAGTTGTCATAAAATTGGAGGTGTACAGTGCAAATACAAAAATCAGAACAGTTATCGGAGAACTTTTAGTTCTATGTTAAAACACATGCACTAAACTAGGGAGTTCTTATTTTTCACCATCAAAATGAATTGTGAAGGAATTGAACGTTATCGGCTACGAAAACACAACCTGACTGCACACTGGGCAAATAAACGCCAAGTGCTTACATTAACTCTTAAAAACAGTACCAAACTATAGTGGGACGCTAAGTTTGAAGGAAAATCGCAGTGCTTGATAAACCAGCCGCATGTGACAAGGTCTAACTAACTAGTAAGTCCCTTTTGATGTTAATGATTGTTTGGCAGGAAAGGGCTGAAAGCTGACTTTTCAAGCAGGATGTTGCTAAAACTAACTATAAACAATCTCGACGTCCACTCTAGGCCAGGTATTAAATGCGCCGACCATTTAATGCGTCGGGGCAGGGGCTTTGCCTCCGCTTCCCTGACACACACTATTTTTAACACGAGCCTGTACCAGCCGCCAGCGAAGGACACAACCCAGGTCTAGCCTCGCCCGCGGAAGGCGCGGGCCTCCGGGCGGTCGGTATCGGTTGGACCGCAGCAGGAAGTCCTGTCTTCCTTTGCGGATGGCGGTGGAGTCTGAGAAAAAAAGCCAGCGAGCTTCCACGCCTCCATGGCTAAGGACGGCTGGGAGAAGCCGCCGCGAACCGGCGGCTCGATGCCGGCCGCCATCTCCGCCCCGCGGCCTTCGAGCGCGGGGGCTCCCTCACTACCGGGTCCCCGCCTCCCCGCAAGGCGTCCCGCGCTGGAGCGGGCGAGGTCGGCGGCGTCGCAGGCTGCACTCACCCACTCGAGGATCTTGATGAAGCCAAGCGGCTCCTTGAGCGGGTTGAGGTTGATCTGGAAGGCAGACATCCTCTGAGGGAAAGGAGGGAAAAACGAGTCAGGACGCGGGGCGGAGGAGGGGAGCCACGATACCCGAGAAACTCGGCGGCGAGAGCGGGAAGGCGGGGCCGGCGGGCCTAGGGGCGGGGCTGAGGGCGGGGCCGGCGGGGTGGGGATGAAGGGCCTCTGGGGCGGGGCGGCCTGGCCTTTGGGGCAGGGCCGGGCGGCGGTTGAGTCTGCGCTGAGGAGACGGAGAAGGCGCGCTGAGGCCTGGCCGAGACGGGGCTGGGAAGGGCTGGCTCCTCCCCCGGCCGCACCTGACTCAGCCGGCTGAACCGCTGGCGAACCATGTAGCCTTTGGAAGCCATGTGTGTGCCGCGCCCCCTTCCCCAAAGCCTATCGCTTTCTCTACAGCGCACGCGCGCTCCCTAGGTTCCAGACTCGCTTCCGGCCTTCGCGAGCGCGCGGGGGTGGGGGCGGGGGTCGGGGACACCTGCGCCTGCGCAGCGGGGACCTCCACCTTGGAGGCGTTCTGGTTGCTATGCCCTTTTGTGGCTGTTACAACCCGCCCCCACAACGCCCTTCGGTCTCCTTTTCCTTCACAGTGCTCTGAACTTTTGGACAGATTTATGAAGAATGAACGCGGTCAAAGCCTCACTTCAAAGCTCGTGTTAAGGGCCCTCAAAGTAGTAGTTATTGCAAAACGACAGGCGTCTGGCGGACCTGCCTTATGTAAGGGTATTTGAATGTATGATTCACCAAACGTTTCCGCGGACATCTCAAAGTTGTTGGAGTCAGAGTGGGAGAAAGACCACCCGTTTCATGGCTTGACAGGTCTCACAGGGCAACTCATGTCTCCACCTCTGTCGTCGTCTGGCGAGTTCTGTGTTTCAGGCAGTTGGGGGGGGGTCAAGTCAACTCATTTTTCACGATTTGTCTTAGGAAACACTCTCTCCTTCCACCAGAATGAGGGGCCAGTCTAGACATATTTTCTCTGGCTTCCTTGTTAACTTGCATTTTTTGGAGGGCTAGGATAGTGGCCTGTCTTAATGCATGGTGCGATGATCAACACCAACAGCGAAGGAAGGAGAATCTTTGCCACAGAAGATCCCAGTTCCAGCTTCCAGGTACTTAGTTGTATTTTCTAAATGTCACTGGATTATTCCATCAGAACTGGCAACTACTAGTGGGCATTTGCTACCAAGCTAACACTTCCTCCTTCCTCACTCTTATTTCTGTGTATTCCACTCAGCATTTCTCTTTAAGCTTTTTTTTTTTTAAGTTCTTTTCTGCTGAGGTCTGTTGGATAGGAACCCACAAATAGATTACTTAGCTTTTGCTTCAAGTAAAAAATATTCAAAGTAAAATATTCAAATATATATAATACATATATTCAATGTAATTTCAGAATGAGTTAGATGCTGACAGAATGGGATAATGTTCACCTTGCAACTTTATAGAGCTGAGAGGTCCAAAATAATTTGTACCCCCATGGTTCATTCCTTTAGTCCTGACACCAGTCAGCTGGCTGAGGTTTGCTTGACTATACAGTTGGATAAGAATTGTGGGTAGGCAGGGTAGGCAAGTGAGGAGCTGGTTTCTTGCAGCCTTCATTTCTGTTAGGCAGCAGTGAGTGGTGGCTGAATCCAGACAGAAGCAGCAGCAAGTGGCACCCTTTAGTGTTGCAGCCCTCATAACTTTAACCCTACAAGTGTTCTGGTTTGTAAATCTAGAACACTGGAGCTCCTGGACCCTTGGCAGCTCTTGGCCAGGATGAGACCTTTGACCCTGAAGGCTTAACAGCTCTCTGGAACTCTTGTGGTGACAGGGCCTGTCCTTGTTCTTCTCTGGCTGATTATAAGGTTTTATCCATTAGACTTGACTCTACACCTGGACTGCTAGGACTCCTCATGTCTGCCTCCTTAGACACAGGGTACCTGCTACTGCTGCGGGGGCCATTTTGCCACCACTCCTTTCCTGCCTCTGTTGCTTTCTTTTCTGTGTCACCATCTTATCCTGCACTACTAAATGTAGGCAAGGCCACTTAAGAGCAGTTGTGTGGGAGCCGAAGACTGCAATACCAGAGAAGTTAACAATACCAGAGTACCTCTTACTCAGCATACTGAGTGAGCCTGGACATCCTCTTACATAGCCTGAGGACTATGTTCAGCAACAGTGAACAAGCACAACTGTTTGTTTTAAATAAATCATACCCAACACTTTGAGCCAATCACAGATTTGTTTCTTAACACCCAACACCCGTTAAGTAGCCTCTTCACTAAACTCCCAAAGGAAGAGTTACCTATCTGGTCACTGTTGAAATGATTCCAGGACTATCGGGAGTGGGGGCTTCAAGTAGCAAAAAAACTTATATAAACTTTTTCAAACAGCACTGTGCCTTCAGGAAGCAGAGCAATCAGCTACAGTCTTTGCATAATTGTCTTAAGGTGTCCATGGGATGTTCGAGATGGCCAGTGCTGGCATGAGAATAGTCCTGTTCATTAGTAAACACATAGTTATTTAGCTCAAGGTAGCCAAATTGCTCCATTCTCAATGTCCATGCTAATTTGTAGGAAACTCATTTCACATCAGAAGGAACATTTAAAATATAAGCTTAATAATGCACTTATTAGTACAGGCAGTGCCCAGGGATAGGCAGGTTCCTAGATCTGCCTTAGTCACAGCTATTCAGGATGCTGAGGAAGAAGGCTCTTTTGAGTCCAAGAACTGAAATTCGTTCAGCCTGGGTGATATAATCTGAACCTGTTTCTTAATTTTTTTTTCTTTTGAGACAGAATCTCACTCTGTAGCCTTGGTTGGCCTTGGATTCACAGATGTCCTCCTGCCTCTGCCTCCAGAGTGCTGGGATTAAAGCTGGGCACTGTCCTCAGGATGGTGGCGGTGGAGGTGGTGGTTGTTTTCTCTGTCTCTTATTTTAGTCTCAGGAATTAAGATAGGCTGGACCCTTAACCTATGAGTTGTATGTTATATTGTGTGTCTTCTACTTTTTGTCTCTTTTCTCTTGTGCTTGTTCAAACCCACCAGTGGAACTTCCCAGGAAATCTGCTAGACTATAATCCTTGAACTTTAAAAGAGTCCCTTCATTGGCCCGAGCCATTGGTTTTTAAATCTAGAGACCACTTAGTGTGGTCTGGGCCACATCGGGTCACTTGTCAGGATTCATTTATAGGATGTGAACAGAACTACAGGAAGCATGAGCCTTCAGTCATATATGGCGTGGCACTGCTGCCTTTTACTGTCACTGTGTCCCAGAAAGAGTAGCTGCATCAATCTTCAAATTAGATAGCCAAAAAGCAACAAAGACTTAGTGTTAGAACAAAAAAACTGTTTAAGGAGAGCACACTTTGTTGTAAGAGAGAGTTGTAAGGAAGACTCTTCTAGTGATAAAGAAATATAAAACTTGAGACTGGGATTTTAGAAAGCAAAGAAAATAATTTTTTTTTTAATAACGGAACATCACACAGAGCCAAGTTATTGTAATCTTTTCCGTATGGATCTAGTTTTATTTAACCTGCTTGTATTGAAATTGTGCATAGTTCTTAGCGCCTTTCAATCTTGAATTACATTGAAGCAATTAGTACACAGTGGAAATGTTCTAATTTGAGACGTTTATCAGGAGCCTTCTAGGATCACCAGGTGGCCTTCCTGGAGGTAGCCCACCATTTTTGCATGGTCTGTGATGGGTGAGGTCTATGAGGTAACGTCCCAAAGAGACTTCATTTCAGGATTGCTTCGCGCAGCTGATACGCCTTTCCTGTCATTATTAAATTAATATAATAATCCCTGGGCATTAGCCCACTCTATTGAGCCGATCTCCTGCAGATCAACATAAAGATGAACTTTCATGAATTAATGCTGTTTAGATCAATTAATGATTTTACAGAATCCCTGATTTAATTCAAGTAATCCTAGGAAGAAAGTTTTAAGAGATGGTTTTAGTTGTTTTCTAGAAAGATGTAACAAAGTTAGAGCCAAGAATAGAATGTGCCCATTCCTCATAATAGTAGATAAAGGCTACATAATAAGAAATACAATGAGCTTTCATAATTACACTAAAAAGAGAAATAGGCTTGGGATGAATTTGTGTTCAAGGAAAAAATTCAGGTCCAAGGATGAAGCCACAGGTGTGTACTATGATAAGATAAGGCCATGAGAAACTGTTGCTTTGAACTTAGAACAAGTTTATAGAGTGAAACACTGCTTTGAACTTGTTATCGATAGCTTTCTGTTACTCCCCTTTTATGTAACATTTTATCTATGAGGTAATTCATTCTTACATAGAGAAGTTTTTGTATTAAGGATATAAAAAGCTGAAAGCAATAAAGAAAGGGGGTGCAGCCATTTTCCTCTTCACCTGGTGTGTATGTGTCTGTGTGAATAACATCTTTCCTTTCCTTTTTCTCTGTGGTTCAAAAAGAGTTAATGCACTCCATGGCCAGTGAGAAGCTTCTGGCTGACATGCCAGAAAAAAAGGAGCACGAGCAATAAATCCTCTACTGAATTCCCTGCTGCTATACAGCTTGTGCTAATTGCCAGGGAATTCTATAGCAAGTTTATAAAGTAAGTAAGAGTTAAGTTTTTCAGCACTTAATGAAGCACAGAACAGTTAGAGAATTACAAGGCCAGAGATCATCAGTCTCCTGATCCACATCTCCAGGTTGTGCCCTTCATCCCTTTCCAACCAGGCAGGCTCCCAGCAGATAGTATTACTACCATCAAAACACTAAAGTGTCTAAAGAGAAAGGGTTTACTATATAAATAACTTTTGCAGTGATATAAGTTGCCTTTTGTTGGTATTTTATACTTTTTGAAGAACTTTCAGGCATATTTCAGGTGACCTTTGAGTTTAGAAAAAGATAAAAGTTATGATCCATATCTTAATTATCTGGCAATCAAGTCTTAAAGGAAGAAGGCATATCAGGAAGGGATTCACAGGGAAGTGATGTGGCACTCAAGTCTGAACAGAGATGTGAGGGCTTCCTTAGAAGGAGGCTAGGGCAGAGCACAGGGTTGAGCATCCTACTGGACATTCTCTGGTCAGCTCTTCCATGTTTCGCAGGTGGAGGAAGGGAGCATTTGTA